ACCCCCTCAGCCAGGGCTGCCGCCTCCCGCCGCACCGCGGGGCACGCCGGGAGCTGGAGTCCCGGCGCCGCGGCCGCAGAGCACGCCGGGAGTTGTAGTCGCGTCGCCGGCGCAGGGCACGCCGGGAGTTGTAGTTCTCCCCTCACTAGGCCCAGCCGCCCTTCCCGCCCGCAAAAACGCCGGAGGAACAAACTTCCCCCTGCGAAGCTGCAGGTGGGGCAGGACGTAATCATCCCAATTACAGCAACTGAGGCGATGACGACCTGTGCCTTACGAAAAACGCCTCAGAGCCACCCCGGCCCTGGGGCTGCCCCCGGGATGGGGTCTCAGGGAGAGCTCCGGCTCCCCGCGGCGTCACTGGCGCCATTGTTATACTTGTAGGGGAGAAGCTGCTGCCACCGGCTGCCCTGCGTGTCCTGCCTGGAGGAACCCACAACAATTTATTGTCATTGGGTGATAGAATAATTGTCTAAACGACCCCTCCCCAGCCAGGAAGGGAAATCAGGGAAAAAACAAGGAAAGCCAAGGGTTGAGATACAAACAGATTTAATAGAATACAACTAAATAATCAGTAACGCTAAAGACCCAACATAGATCCAGATGCCAGTATAAAATACACAAGGATTATCCTCAGCCCGTTCTATCCGTGGGGAGCTGTGCGCTCCCTGCAGTGACAGCCAATGTGGGAGGAAGGGACGGGCTCAGGGATCCGGCACCGGGGCGAGGAGTTCTTGGGGTCACAGCCATCACGGGGGAGAGAGAGAGAGAGAGAGAGAACTCCTCAGCAAACTTCTAATTTATATTGAATGTGCCATTCCTGGTGTGAAATAATGCTGTTGGGCAGCTTGGGTCAAGTGCCCGGGTCTGCCGCTCCTCATCCCCACACCTGGCGAGCTCAAAAACACGGAGACCTTGAAAACTGCACACCATAACTGACTATAAAGTAAATATTTTCACAAATTCAGACACTAGAGGCTTCTAAAAGTGCAGTTTCCCCAAGCATTAGAAGAGACACTGGTCCCGTGTCACTCAAACCAGGACACCTTCTGAGGCCCCGACCCCAGCCTGGCTGCCCAAGCCCGCTTGCAGCTCCGGGAGCCGGCGCGGAGTGGGGCTCTGTCCCTGAGCC